TCTCAACATAAAATTTACTTCAGTTCATGTATTAACGAATGAACAAACTTATTACACATTTACTATAACTTTAAAAAGAAAATCGAACTCAACTTACTTTCCAAAACCATAAAACTTGTGGAGATCGAGCATCGTATTTTTTATAAGTTGTATGCGATTGCCAATCATCTACATCGATTTGTTGCATACCACATAATAAAACCTAATTAATCAAAGAAATGAAAAGAAAAACGAGAATCATTAGTGAAAACATCGAAAAGAAAGTGATATACAACATTGAACCAGGATACAAATATTTCATTCACTGAAGAATCATCACATCAGAACAACAACAACAAGAGATGAGATCACTGAGATGGGATAGCACAGAAGCCGAATCAATAATGTTATCACCATGGTAATCGATCGAAAGTAAGATTAAATAGTGGAGAATAAGGTCAGGAAATAACGGGATAAGAAATATGTAATAATCTTGATGGATAGTGAATGTAACAGCTACACTTCAACTAATTTTAAATCATGTGGTCCCCTGACATTTCTGATCAGTGGTCCCGCTTGTCGCGCTGATTCCGATCAGGTAGTGTACACCTGTTGACAAGGATTAAATCACTAGTCAATAGCTTCATAAACTGATTGTCTCTAGGTTATTTCTGCACCAATCAGACAGAATGATGTATCGAGGAAGGCAATGGTTAAGAGTGCCCATTACATGTTCTATCTCCATCGATGCAAGTTCATCATCTTATTAACTAATTGGTTATCCTTAACTAGTTGATACATCCTTCATTTAACCTAAACATTACACACACACATGTCCTCCAGCATACGCTAACAATGCATAAACATATCAACTTTTTTTGAAGTGAATATTTTGATTGAATAATTTCCAAATTATTTTAAAACTGAAGTAACTGAAAAACAACATTTTCGACTCCTAATATGTTTCAATCAACCCTTCTTCACAATACTGTTTTACATCAAAAGATAGACCTTTGAATTTTTAGTATCTTTTATAAACTTTGAGGCATACATACACCATAAATACAAATTAGTGGTTCATGAATATTCAGTTTTGAAGTATATAGGATAGGTGTGTACTATCACCTGTGAACTTAAATAAATTTTGTAGGTTGTATTCGTCACAGATTGATCTTACTTGGAGTATTACTGAAAATTAGGGATAACTGTACAATTGTTTCGTTTTAGTATAGGACTCTTTAACAGTCTTTAAATACAACTTTCAGATCTTACAGTGACATGAGTTTTCTAAGTTTTGGTGAGAAGTAATGACCCAAACATTTTGGCAGTGAAACAATTATTACAAACGATAATGGATTGTTTCCGTACTGCATTGCGAATTGATTGAAGTTGGGATTGGACAATCAGATAGTGACCGCTGCGAGAAAAACACCAAAATCTACCGCTCAAATATTCACGCGATGAAATTTTTAGGCGAAAAATGTTAACATTATATATATATATATATATATATAGGATTCCGTAAGGATAGATCGTGTACAGACCAAATCGCAACTCTACGGATCACTGTGGACCAATCAATTGAATGGAATCCATCACTCTACATCAACTTCATTGAATACGAAAAAGCATTTGATAGCGTGGACAGAACAACATTATGGAAGCTTCTAGACACTACGGCGTGCTTCAGAAGATAGTCAATATCATACAGAATTCATATAATGAATTAAACTGCAAAATCATGCATGGAGCAGAGTTGACAAAGTTGTTCGAAGTAAAGACCAGTGTCAGGCAAGGTTGCTTACTCTCACCCTTTCTCTTTCTCCTGGTGATCGACTGGATCATGAAGACGTCAACATCTGAAGGGCAACACGGGATACAGTGAACATCTAGGATGCAGTTGGACGATTTAGACTTCGCAGATGATCTGGCCCTTCCATGCCAAACGCGACAAATGCAGGAGAAGACGACCAGTGTAGCAGCAGCCTCAGCAGAACTATGTCTCAATATACACAAAGGGAAAAGCAAGGTTCTTCGAAACAACACAGAATGCACCAACCCAATCACAATTGACGGAGAAGATTTGGAAGATGTAAAAACCTTCACGTATTTGGGCAGCATCATTGATGAACAGGGTGGATCTGATGCAGATGTGAAGGCGCGGATCGGCAAAGCAAGAGCAGCATATTTACAACTGAGGAACATCTGGAACTCAAAGCAACTATCAACCAACACCAAGGTCAGGATTTTCAATACAAATGTCAAGACAGTTCTACTGTATGGGGCAGAAACCTGGAGAACTACGAAAGTCATCATCCAGAAGATACAGGTGTTTATTAACAGTTGTCTACGCAAAATACTTCAGATCCATTGGCCGGACACTATTAGCAACAACGTACTGTGGGAGAGAACAAACCAGATCCCAGCGGAGGAAGAAATCAGGAAGAAGTGTTGGAAGTGAATAGGACACACATTGAGGAAAGCAACCAACTGCGTCACAAGACAAGCCCTCACATGGAATCCTGAAGGCCAAAGGAAAAGAGAAAGACCAAAGAACACATTACGCCGAGAAATGGAGATAGACATGAGAAGAATGAACAAAAATTGGATGGAATTAAAAAAGAAGGCCCAGGACAGAGTGGGTTGGAGAATGCTGGTCGGCGGCCTATGCTCCATTGGGAGTAACAGGCGTAAGTAAGTAAGTAATATATATGATTTTGATAAATATCACCCACAAAGAGTATCGTGGTTTCTTCAAGATTGGAGAAATATCCTACCAACTACAAATTTATGTGACAAATACCGGTAATCTACAACTTAGTTGTTTAAGCAGAAGTAAGTGAATTAGACAGTTCAAATCGATAACCTAACATTACTGATTCAAAGCTGACGGTTGTAACCACAAAGTCTTCGAGCTTAGTTCAACTAACAAAAAGTTTAAGATCTAACAACGTTTTCTATCAAATCCCTTCCACTAACCATTTAACATAATCAAAGATTTATATATAAAACAAAAAAAAGAATGATGGACTGTATTTGCAGGAGACGTTTTATTGTCTGATGAAAAAGAAGCCAATCGTATAGACTACACACTACCACTACTGAATATATAGATAGACAGTGAGTGTAACTATTCTATTTCGATCAACTCTGAGTTATAATACCACTTAACATTTCCAACCAGTGATGTCTATTATCCTGTGAATATTAACCAAGAAGCATGAGTCTACTGACACAGATCAGATCAATATTCAATGACTTTATGGGTTAGTCTTGTAGAAAAAAAGGAAACAATTGTACAAACTATACACTACCAATACAGTAATACAGAGATAGATAAGTTTTGAAAATAGCCTTGGAAAATCCAATAAAATTATATTGTTATGGCAACCTACTACTACTACTAGATAGATGAAAAAAAATTATTTGGAAATATGAACTAAAGGGGAATAACAACAGCAATTGATAATTCGGTCATATGACTGATACTTAAAACTTCGCTAATTAGACAAATTTTAAAAGAGGACTAAAGTATTACTGATCAGTTAAATCAGTATATACACAACAACTAAGACTAGTATCTTATGATTCATTTTAGCTTATTCTATCATATTAACGAGTGTTCTTAGATTATGAAAAATAAGGAAGTTTTATCCTGTGTAGGTTATTACATGTAATAAAACAATGTAAGTATGATTTAGATGCATTTTCCTACCTTTACATACAACAGCCTTGAATCAGTTGGCGTCTGATAAAATCTCGGTCTACTTCTACCAACTCAGGTCACTTAAAACATATGTGAGACGTCTGTCTGTCTGTCTATCAACTAGAAGACACGTTCACTGTGTACCAATCTACAATGTATTACTTCATAGTAAATTGGTTGACGAAGTAATGAATCCATATTGACTTAAGGGGTTAGAACAAGCGTTATGTGTGCCGATCTGCTATCAAGGGACGAGTACTGGAAAGTTGGAACTTTTGGTGTTATCTTTCGGATTATTATCATGTATCCTCCTGGTTTTAAGCTTGGAATGGACATATTAACTGTCGTTATGCGTCTAACTATTCCTTAATTATTGTTAATTAATTGAGGACCGATTGTTTCACCCTTTGCCACTTATTTCGTGACTATATTCAAAGTATAGTTTCTTATTTACTATGTGAGGTCTGAAAACTCGTGAGTGTTTGAGATAGTTGGAGCTAGCAGCTAATTGCTCTTCGAACTCAAGGTTAGCTGTGCAGGTTCGAACGTTTAACTGGTCCGGTCTAGGACCACTCCAACATGGATGGAATAAAACCAATGATAACCAAATCAAGACATCGCATTAGTCTATGAAGTCAGTGATTATTCGACGTATGTAGGATGGAGTCTGAGAGATTATTTTGACCAATGGATGAAAACATTAGATGATATGGATCACTAGTGGTTACAATGGTGTTATGAGTAATTATTATCTATTTTGGGTGATTACTTTGTTGGAAGAGTAAAATCAATTAATTTGAATTAGTGAAGATAATGTAGACTTATAAATACAATAGTTAGTATGTGGAATTTTTGTCAGTCTATGCTTGATTCATCTTCTTTAAACCAGCTGAGATGAATTTCCCAGTTGGTATTAGTTTAGTGGAGGCTTCTGAGATCAATTAGTTTGTGAAGCGGTGATCACATATTGTGGCACAATTGAGCAACCAATGTTATGAGTACTGAGCAAATAATGACAAATTGGTTCAAGAGGATGTTAACCTCTACTAATTCTGATATTTAAGACATGCGTATTATTTAAGATTGAACACCGTTTATCATAATGCATAATAGGAGCAGGACGAAGAATTTGTTGGAGGAAAGATAGGAAGGGCCAAACCAGAACGTGACATTAGTCAACAAATCACTGAGTATTGTGTCTGAACCGTGTTTCCAGATGCAAACTACCTGGTTGGGGAGGGGGTTCATGTTATAATCATGATCAATCGTTGTAGATGCTGGGTAACATGGCTTAGAATCGGTAAAAAATAGCGTAGATCCATTAACTTTTTGTCTTCCTCTACGTTTGGGACGTTAACATTCACAATTACGTAAATACCCTGCAAGGCGGTAATTTTACATTGGTTTTTAAGGGGATCAGAGACTATACAGTCTCTTACAGTACGACTTGGACAATATCACTCAGCCCTGTGCCGCAACCACATAGGTATCAAGAACTCTGGTGGACAAAAACTTTAATATTACTCAGTACTTTTTTACTTTTTCGTATTCATTCTTCATTTTTAATCACATTCTTCAATATTTAGTCTTTTTAATTCCTCACCGATATTACTGTTATTGTGGACACTTATGCTATTCATATTTTCAGTTTACTTTTCAGTCAGATTAATGTGGTCTGGCGACTTATCACATTCTGTGTTGACTATGAATGCAGATAACAACTGGGAGTAATAAAATAAGCTCAAGGTTTACGTGATTTTTATGTTGATCTGGTTGTGTTAACGTACACAATCTTGTCAGTCATATAGTGAAGTAAACAAATTAGGTTTCAAGGATGAACTAAAGAAATATCAAACTGATTTCATATCAATTAAAGCGTAATGTTACGAAGGCGAGATATCAGTCTATCAACTGCGCGGCAGTTCGTTCTGTCCTACTCTACGGCTGCGAAACATGGCCATTAAGAGTAGAAGATACATGTAAGATACTAGTATTCGACTAAAGATGTCTTAGAAATATTGCTTGCATCTGCTGGGATCACCATGTAAGTAATAGTGAGGTTAAACTCAGGGTATTAGGGAATGATGGTTAATTAGTTGATGAGGTTGTGAATCTTCATCGACTGAGATGGTTGGGTCAAGTATTACGCATGCCTAACCACCGATTACCACGACACGCAATGCTGACTAGTGTTGGCGATGGTTGGAAAAAAGTTGGGGGCGGCCAAACCAAAACGTGGCATCAGTGCTTGAATTCACTAACTTCTAGTCTGAGCCATGTTGGTAGATGCAGTCTACTTGGTTGGGGTCCACATGACTATCGTAAACAACGGTCGGAGACTCTTGGTGACATGGCTCAGAATCGATCACAATGGCGTCGGTGTATACACTCTCTGTCTTTTCTCACACTAAGAGATTAAAATCGCTTCATATCTTTCTTTTTACTAACTAATTCTTTCTTCCTGTACTATATCCTTATTGCCATCTTTCTTTTATATATTACCACCTCTGAATTAACTACTTTTATGGATCTGGTGTTCATCTTGTTGTGCTAATGCGGTATAATATAGCAACTTGGACTGATGCTTATATGTGCCTGGTCCTACGTTGTAACTGACTGACCGAATGTTACGATGAGAAATTGTGACTTATAGAATTTCAATCAGATCAATAGAGTGACATGGTAACATTGATTGATAGTATCCGATAAGCAATCAGTGTTCAATCACCAAAACTAGGAATTTTTGATTTGAAAGTCCAAAATTTGTTTCCATGTGAATTTCAACAGTGTAAACACGATTATTGAAAAATTTTAAAAATATTTCAATTTTCTTTTCAATGAATTGTTTTTTTTTTCTTCTCCTGAATAAAAAAAACAAAATAGATGAACATTTACTAACTTCTAATTCACGTTCATCAAAATATTGTAACCATTGAAGAGGAAATACATCTTCGAAACCAGTAAGGAATGCATTTGTTTGATCTTCTACTCCACGAGAAAATCTCCAATTAACCATTAGACTGTGAAAAAAAGTTGTTTAATAAATAAATAATTAGAGAAAAGGATAAATATATGATATTAATTATAAGAGTTATTAAAATTGTAAACTGATCAGTAGTAGAATTGTAACCCATGGATGTCCGAGAGTTCATACTTATATACACAATATTTTTACTTAAGAGAAAAGATAAATAATAATGAGGAAGGAGGTTTATTCGGGTAAACCGAAGACAATGTGAGTCAATAAATTCACATTATTTATAACGTGGGTAAATGTAGATCCTATAGTGGTTTATGGGAGAAAGAACCATATAGAAATCAAAAGGTTAAGTCAACGTTTTTTAAATGAACCCGAAAAACCTATTCCTACATATCCGAATTCCAAACAAGTAGGAGGTAGTTTGACGACGTCGACGTTTTTCTCATCAATTCATCATGAATTTAATCCAGTAAAATGTGCCTATGTTATTATCTTCTGAGATGGTTCACACTGATACTTTTTCCAGTGTGATGTAGATCATAGGTCCTGTGGTGATATATTGTGTTTGATGAAACACACTTTTTATATACACAAGCCAAACTGGCTACTACTCAAGGGAAAAGACCGAGAGTGAGGAAAAACGTTTATTCGGCTAAACGGAATCACATGTATGTTTGTTTTCTAAAAATGAAAGCCATCTCTTTGCCAGTTGTGTATTTATTATTTGATGATTTTTGACTGAGCCAATGTACGACCCTTACCTCCTGAAAAACAGGTCTGCTTTCGGACTCAACTGAAGGCGTTTGAACAGATGTACATCAAAATCTATTTCGAATGAGGGAACAAATGTGGTATGGTAACTTAGTGTAACTCATAGTTACACGAGACTGTATGTTGATTACAACTGACTAATAATATGATAATAAATATCTGATTACAGATAAAATATTTGCACACAAGATTTGTGAAAAATGTGGAATTTTCCTAGTTTAAATCACGAACTGGCAATAGATAGACCACCAGCGAAAACCTACGACGACTTCGTGGTCATTTAGTCCTAATATGATACTAGTTTCAAGAGGCCATTGGTGACTAGCTTTAACACATAACTTCTAGTACGAAAGCGTGACCAGTGAAGTTCAGTTATTCACCCCAAGGCAATATAACATGGTCGCGCTAAGTATCGTGAATAGATTGAAGTTAGAGATGCACACCACTGAGAACCAGTTCAGTGGTCTAGAGGTTAAGCGTTTACGCCCAAGACTGAAAGTCCTATATTTGATTCTCTTAGATAGGGGGGTTGTGGGTGCGCATTCCTGAGAAGTCCCAATACTAGTAGGTTTCCAACGGTGGCTTAACTGAAATCAGTTGCGAAGATAAAATATGTATTAGGAAAAAACCCCAGCTAACGGGGATATTGTACAACTTTTTTTAATAATTAGCAGCATGATTTGATTGTTAAAATAGGAAAGCCTGAAGAGAATGCTAACGATCGATTATTCAGTAAGAAACCAAACGGATATTTGAAAAAAACCCATATCAAACAGACTAAACTATTTTATGCTTTAAAATATAAAAAAATACGACTGGAAAAGACAATTAACTTTGCAAGGCAAGTAATGTAAATAGTGAATCACTTCTTCAGATAATTTCTGGACGAAATACACATAGGTAATTGTCTTTCACTTTGAATCACACTTTAAAGGTGAAATCCAATGATACTAATTAAATGGTCAAATCAAAGCAGACAGTCATTCATATGCAACGTAGAATCTGGTACATGTGTACATAGGTTTGAGTCGCCACAAAAGCTATTAGAACGAGATGAAATTGTCAAGGCGAATGCAAGAGTAGTAAAGGAAGTAACACAAAAGACTAAGTATAGAAGATACAATGAGAGAAGAAAATATAGATATTGATGAAATAAAAAGGAGATTATAAGCTAACTCAGAAATTTAGTATGTGGGAGAAAACAAAGACTGAGTGCGCCTGATCCATGTCATTTAAAGTCTCCAACCATTGGCTAAGATAATTACGCGGATCACAATCAGGTAGTCCATACCTACCTACATAGCTCGGTTCACTAGTCAGTGTCTTCATGGATTGTTTAAATGTCTTGGCTTGGTCAATTCTATGTTTCTTCTAACCTACTCGAAAATCAGCAATCATCACGCGTCAAAATAGTCGATGGATGGGGGATACGTAGTACATTTCCTGCCCACCTCGGTCAATAATGATCAAGTACTCCGTCAATCGATTCCTCATACTTACCTAATACTCTGCTTCTAAACGCAGAATTGTTAATTAAATGTTGCCCAAATTTACGAGCATTTCAGTTTTATTTTCCCACAAATTTATCTTTTCTTGTAGAATTACATTTTCGATACCTAGTCTTTTCTACTGTCACTAGTACTGTTACTAATATGGGATTCATGTTGACAATTTCATCTTTCTGGACTAATGTGGTATGGAAATTTGAACCGATGTGCATGTTTCAGGTTTTACATTGCGTATAACTGATTGACTGACATGATCAGACTACTAAACATTGAAACAGATAACATGATCTGATGAAGTAATATTTTATATTTAGACAGAGTAAAGAAAGTAATATATTTGTAATGTCCCAATGAGTAGAAAAATTAGACTTTCTGACGTTTCGTGACCCAGTGTAAGCCACTTCTTCAGAGAACAAATAACTAGATCAAAATTAATACAAGTTTAAATAGTTCAAAGGAACAACGCCAGAATATTATGTGAGATCAATCAAAAAACAGGTCTGAACACGATTTGTAAACTGTTATTATATACATATATTCTTATTGTATAACTATCGAGTAACCATATTATATGTATATTCATAATTGCTTTATTCTAAACTTCCATTTGACCTATTGACTATTATTATAAGATTTACTCAGTCAGTAACAACGTAGAATTTCGTACGTACGTACATCAGCTCGAGTTGCCATACCAAACTAACAAAGAGATGCAGTTGTCGATTCGAATCGCGTAGTGATAGAGGCGGTAAGAATATAAACAGTAATCGGAAACGTTGGGGTTTGAAGATGTGTTATTTAAAGAGTATAATACAGTGAAATAAATTTGGAAAGAGACAAAAAGAAAGGGACATGAAGAATTCAGAAGATTAGAATTTGGGAGAACACAAAGAGTGGATGCACCTGCGCCATTCCAAACGATTTTGAGCTATGTCATTCAGGGTCTCTAACCATCGGTTGCTATCATCTCGCGGTCCCCAACCAGGTAGTCTACATCTACCAACATGACTCAGTCCACTTGTTAGTGACTTCATGGACTTGTGCCATGTTTTGGTCTGGCCGCCCCTAGCTTTCTTTCAACCTACTCCTATACCATTGAACATCGCACGTCGAGGCAGATTTACTATTTTTAAGTTATTCACAATTTATTAGTTACGTTCTCTCTTACTCACAGTCACTTTTGATTTGATCTTGTATCATTGTTATTTTCTGCTTCATAGTATGATGTAGTCTAGTTTATTTGTATATAAACTGCTTATATCTGACATACATGATTCATACAGTGGAAGCTGATATTGTGTTCCGAACTCAAGTAGACAAGGTTAGGCGAGAAAAACCAATAAAGACTTAGAGTTGACTTTACACTACTCGTACTGGTTAACATGTCATTGGTTTGGCATAGTGCATGATATTTGACGGGGCTTAGGATATAACAAATATCATCGTTATAATTGATCACAATCAGGAAAACAAGTTATAAGAAATCAATATCTTAATATATATATATCACTGTTAAGCAAGACGTTGAAGCAAAGCAATGATTGATAGCTGTCTCAACTATAATCATATTAATACATGTAAAATCTAGTTCTAAACTATTCAAACAAAAAATAGACAAATATGATTGAATCACTAGTGAAAATTTCACTTGCATTATTACAAAAAGGATAATACGTATCATGTTGAGAGTTGTGATGATAGTCATTAAAATAACTTTGACTTCCCTCTCTCCCTCCTCCATCACAACCACTTAGAAACACACACACACACACATACCATACAGTAATGTATATGCATATAAGTGAGTTATTTCCATAGAGTCAAGCTGAATTATGAAATAGAAAGTGATGTTATTTATATTACTAGAATCTATATATCTATTTATTTATATCCATTGAAAATCACACATTATACATTAGATAGATTCATTCAGGAGAATTCCTACAGTTCAGTATATAAAAAGGATTGTTATATGTAGGTAGCATGCTATAACTAACTCTTTCTTTTCATATGAAATCAATACTTTGTCATTTACACTTATATCAATATGGTACTGTATTATAATATTTTCATAATTAACTATTAGGAGTAATTTTATCACATTATGATTTACAGTATTATGTCATTAAAACAAAGAAGAAATCAATTAATGATAACTTAATTTAAAAAAGTATATATTATTTGTCAGATTTGGTTGATGTTAGTTGGAAGTAAACCCTAGATTAAGAGTTTTCTAATGATGAGATAAATATTGTGGATGTGCTACCACTTTGTTGATGATATTCAAACTATTTATTTTAACACAGATATTGGTACAAGGAGGCACCAAATACATATGAGCTGTGATACTGCCCGGGTGCCCAAATCGAAGCAGGTGATTTTCTTAGGGGGGCCACTCCCCGAGTCTTCGACCTGAAGGCCTGATCCACAAGGCAGTGGAGCATCGTAAGGAGATGCAGTCCCACGGTAGCCGGTGACCAACGATTGGTTCATACATCATTTATTCCCGCAGGATACTGGAGCACATGTGCACCATTGATTTGGAATCCGGTTAAAGCATCGGACATTCGCTTTTCGTGCTCTCATTTTCGTAAACAACACCGCCGCCACGAGAAGGCAATGAGTAGGACTTCCCTGGCAGAGGCTATATACGCGTGGCCATATGAGGGCATTTCGAGAGGGAGAGCGGACTCTCCCCACTCTCGGCCTTACTAGGGCATTTGGGTTTTTCTGTTAACTATCTATAATCAAGTAACATTAA